GACAGACAGACCAGACAGACAGACAGACAGACAGACAGACGGACGGACGGACGGACAGACAGACGGACAGACAGACAGACAGACAGACAGACAGACAGACAGACGGACTGTGAATACCAAAAAGCTTCTCTATTCTCTCAATTCATCTCTATGATATTCTGTCTTTTCTGAAAGGAGTTGACGGATGGTGGAGGGGGAACAGGAGGGTGAGGAAGAGCTTTTAGGACTCGCTGAAGTGTCCTCATTCCAGAGGGACTCGATACAAGTAGAGACGCGAGCAAAGCCTTGAAAGTCGACTGATTGAGGTGGAAAAGGGTAAAAAAGATGAACAAAGTGCAACAAAAAGTATGGTAATAGTACTTTTACTTAAAGAGGCCCTATTAAGCGTTATGGGATTGTCCCTTTCCTGTCGTGTGTTATATAGGTTTTGGTGCATGTAAATGGTCTGCAGAGGCTAACATTCCTGTGTTCCCTCCACAGGGAGATTCTCACATGATGTCAGAACTAGAAAAGACTGGAAAGTCAAATGGTGGAAGAAGGAAATCTGAAAAAGTGTTTCCTGAAAGTCTTGTACCCAAAACAGTGGTGACATTAGCTTTACGAACACAGTGACGTAGAGACGGGAAGAAAGCCTTGAAAGTCGATTGATTGACAAATATGTAAAAAGTGCAAAAGCAATGTAGTACTTTACATTACATTACATTGCATTTAGCTGACGCTTTTATCCAAAGCGACTTACAATAAGTGCATTCGACCAGGAAGACACAACCTTGAAGAAAACAGAATCATAAAGTACATCAGGTTTCATAGAACCAAACATTTCAAGTGCTACTCAACTGGCGTTAGATAAGCCAGTCCTTTATTAGTATAAAAGTGCTTTGTTAATAGTTCTATCGCTCAAAGTGGAGTCGAAAGAGATGAGTTTTCAGTCTGCGCCGGAAGATGTGCAAGCTATCTGCTGTCCTGATGTCAATGGGGAGCTCATTCCACCATCTTGGAGCCAGGATAGCTACTTTTATATAAAAAGGTCCTATTATGGGTTTTAAGTTTTTTTCTTTCCTCTAGAAACTCAAATACACAGTGGGCCAAAATTAAGAAATGGGTACTAGTGGAGGGCCGGACTGGTTCAATGTTTATTGCAGAACGTATTGAAATGAACTTATTGCACATATTAAACCTGGAACTAACAAAGCTTAAATGATTGCCTATAAAAACAACATTAAATAATCAGCTGCATTAATTTCTTATGAGTACATTTTCCCACAGGCCAACAACAGCTTCAACAAAACTATTCCCCTCAAAGAGAAAACCAAACATGCCCTGTTGTCCTGAGAGAAAGTGCAGAAGGAAGCATCCATTGAACTCAGTGTGCTGCTCTGTGATGCTAGCTCAGATACTTGGCGTCTCACCTTGGGTGCAAGGTCATCAATGTTTGGGCTCAGGCTCTGAGCGGAGGAGACCCTCAGGATGGAGTGAAGGTGTGCGTGCAATATACCGGAGGGCCAGGTCTAATAGGAATTAGAAATTATCCTGCGGGCCGAAATTAAATCCACCAAGGGCCTGATTTGGCCCCCGGGCCTTGAGTTTGACACGTGCTATAGTGTAATATATAGGTTTTAGTGCATGTAAATGGTCTGCAGAGGCTAACATTCCTGTGTTCCCTCCGAGGTTTCTCTCCCACATGATGAAAGACGTAGAAAAGTCTAGAAAGTCAAATGGTGGAAGCAGGAAATATGAGAAAGTTAAACGCTATATTCTTCTGTTTGGTTCGACACAATGTGCCCCTTTTCTGACGCAAGCTGAAGGATGATGGCGGCGTCGGTGTAGGAGGAAGAAGAGGAAGGAAAGGGGAGGAAGGGGGGGAGGAGGTTGAGGGTTTTGGGACTCGGTGAAGTGTCATCATTACAGAGAGACGAGACCCAGAACAGCCTTGAAAGTCAAACGGTGGAGGTGGAAAAATAGAAAAAAGACACAGAAAAAGACAAACGAGGAGAATGAAAGGAGCTGAGGCTCGGCGGCGTCTCTTCCCTAACCGTCGCCCGTCTCACAGAAGCCTGTCTCGCCTTTCACTAAAAGCGTTCAGACCAAAGCTCGATGAATCAACACGATGTGTGTGTAACAGTGCGGGTTGATGTGGAGCGCACACACACACACACACACACACACACACAGCAGAGAAAGAAAAGTTTGTGCCGCTGTTGCTAAAAATACTCTGCCCACATCTTCCGCTCCACTGCCGCTCTCAAGGTGGAGTGTGTGGTTCTTCCTCGAGTGAGTGTGTGTGCGCGTGTGTGTGTGTGTGTGTGTGTGTGTGTGTGTGTGTGTGTGTGTGTGTGTGTGTGTGTGTGTGTGTTTCCATTTGATCTCCTATCAGCAAAGTTTTCACCTCATGGGAATGGGTGCAAATTGTGAGGTGTTCAATAAATGACCTACTTTCTGCTGGATAACGATGTGGTGCAAGAGGGAAGACTGTATTTACTGTATGTTTGAAATCATTTGAACACTTTATTATAAAAGGTCATATCTCTTCTTTTAATCCATGTTCCTGTACCACTTGTGGTCCAAATCTCTCACCTCTAAACAACTGAACCAGAGGTGTCCAAACTGTTTGCACTGAGGGCCACATGCAGACAAATATAGACCTCACTAGAGGTACAGTGCCTTATAGGTTAAGTTAGAAGTTAGCCAAATCAAATGTAGGTAAATGATTCTTTAAGGAACAAACAACCTTCATCCCAGCTCTCCAGAGGGTTTCATTTATTTAGTTGGCAGCTCATTCCTTAAAACAGAAGCCTCAGATTGCTTATCATAAGGCGACATATGAACGGTATATTTCAAGCTTGTTATGTAAATAAAAGTAATTTTTTAAAACTCAGATTTGTTAGAAAATGTTTTTAACTTCAAGTGACGGAACTTATTTGAAAATGAACTGATTAATCAGTCATATAAATGTACTTTATGTACTGTGTGTGTGTGTGTGTGTGTGTGTGTGTGTGTGTGTGTGTGTGTGTGTGTGTGTGTGTGTGTGTGTGTGTGTGTTTGTGTGTGTGTGTTTGCAGCAGGGACTGTGAAGACGGGGTGTAATGTGTAACGTTTTGTTTCTACCACGCTGCACTGTGTGTCTCCGGCACAGCGGGAATCTGTCGTTCGCCTTTATCACAACATGGCGGGGGGGTCAGCGGGCATTGTTTAAGCTTCTGCTAAGACATGAATGCTGGCAATTATCGTTTCTGCAGAATGACAGGAGTTGATATTGAAAAATACTTATGCACGGCTGCATATATTATAATAAACATATTTTACACATATTTACTTTGATTCTGATGTGAAAATAAATCATTTTTTGTTCATTACATGTTTTCTCTTATTGCCCTTTTTTTATATTAATATAATTTGTTATTTTACTCTAAATTGAGGGAACAATTAACAAACCCCTTTCCCCCCCGGGAATAAATAAAGAAATATTCAAATGTTTTATTCCGATAGTGCCAAGTAAACAATTCACACCACTAACTGTGTCCCATTGGGAACCCTGGGCCGACTTCAACACATGGATTTGGGGTTTTGTGTGTGTGTGTGTGTGTGTGTGTGTGTGTGTGTGTGTGTGTGTGTGTGTGTGTGTGTGTGTGTGTGTGTGTGTGTGTGTGTGTGTGTGTGTGTGTGAGGGGGTTCCCTTAGAGGTCCCATGGCTTTTACAGTGTCTCAATAAACCATCTGCACTCAGTGCTTTAGAAATGAGGAGCTCTTTGCTGCCTATAAAAGACGACCATGCCATTAAAAACAGTGCTGCGCTAAGTAGGGACTGCTGGTGTGTGTGTGTGTGTGTGTGTGTGTGTGTGTGTGTGTGTGTGTGTGTGTGTGTGTGTGTGTGTGTGTGTGTGTGTGTGTGTGTGTATGTGTGTGTTCAGACCTCTAATGTTACCGAGGTGTTGGCTGACAGCATGACGATGTGCAGGCACCTCTTTGGTGAAGTTTCTCAGAGCAGTTTTTAATCCAGAAATCACAGAAACGGGGTGTTTCACACCCTTAAAACTATTATGTTTACAGCAGGATGTGTGAAAGCAAGTTGTCCATTAATTTAAAGTAATACTTGAGTACATTCACTTTCCACCACTGCCTACAATCAGCAGGAAACCAAACAGGCGTAGCTCGACAGTGATCGTAGTGTGGTTTTAGGGTTTTGGGTGCGTTTGATTTCCTCACCTGAATGAGACAGCAAATGCATCCGGAGACGGAGGCTGTCCAGGAAACTCTTTCCACACAACTCACAGCCGTAGGTCTTCATTCCACTGTGCATCTTCCTGTAGACAGAGAGCAGGGAAACATGTTACCGTCTGTTTTCAGCAGGTACAATAGTGTGCATAACCTTATTATATGAATGACCTCGTTTCTATCAGACACTCAGATAACAGTGGTGTAAGATAAAGCAAGATCCTCCTGGAAGACGTTTTAAATCATTTTCACACTTCATTAAATAAGTAATCGTGATCTATCTCTTCTTTAAATCCCAAAACACTCATGTACCCTTCAAGCTTCACTTTCTCTTTTACCTTAATGGGAAACCAAACCATAAGCATTACCTTGACATAACCCTTGACAAAACAAACAACAATATGAAAGAGGTTTTTTTCCTTCAATGTCGCAGAAAAGCTTTTAGTCCATGACCTTTTTTAAATAAACATGTTACTTTCTTGACTGAAATAATGCATGATGCTTGTGTTCCTAACAAATTGACTTTCTTTGAGGTTAATATGAGTTCTTCATAAAGACACAAAGCAATTTTAATAAAACGGGCCATATTCTGTTGATGTTCAGGTGTATATCAGTATGTAGTGTCTCTACTTTAAAGAGTCCTCTCCTGCTGTTGTTCAGGTGTATATCAGTATGTAGTGTCTCTACTTTAAAGAGTCCTCTCCTGCAGATGTTCAGGTGTATATCAGTATGTAGTGTCTCTACTTTAAAGAGTCCTCTCCTGCTGTTGTTCAGGTGTATATCAGTATGTAGTGTCTCTACTTTAAAGAGTCCTCTCCTGCAGATGTTCAGGTGTATATCAGTATGTAGTGTCTCTACTTTAAAGAGTCCTCTCCTGCTGATGTTCAGGTGTATATCAGTATGTAGTGTCTCTACTTTAAATAGTCCTCTCCTGCAGATGTTCAGGTGTATATCAGTATGTAGTGTCTCTACTTTAAAGAGTCCTCTCCTGCAGATGTTCAGGTGGATATCAGTATGTATTGTCTCTACTTTAAAGAGTCCTCTCCTGCTGATGTTCAGGTGTATATCAGTATGTAGTGTCTCTACTTTAAAGAGTCCTCTCCTGCTGATGTTCAGGTGTATATCAGTATGTAGTGTCTCTACTTTAAAGAGTCCTCTCCTGCAGATGTTCAGGTGTACATCAGTATGTAGTGTCTCTACTTTAAAGAGTCCTCTCCTGCAGATGTTCAGGTGTATATCAGTATGTAGTGTCTCTACTTTAAAGAGTCCTCTCCTGCTGATGTTCAGGTGTATATCAGTATGTAGTGTCTCTACTTTAAAGAGTCCTCTCCTGCAGATGTTCAGGTGTATATCAGTATGTAGTGTCTCTACTTTAAAGAGTCCTCTCCTGCTGATGTTCAGGTGTATATCAGTATGTAGTGTCTCTACTTTAAAGAGTCCTCTCCTGCTGATGTTCAGGTGTATATCAGTATGTAGTGTCTCTACTTTAAAGAGTCCTCTCCTGCTGATGTTCAGGTGTATATCAGTATGTAGTGTCTCTACTTTAAAGAGTCCTCTCCTGCAGATGTTCAGGTGTATATCAGTATGTAGTGTCTCTACTTTAAAGAGTCCTCTCCTGCTGATGTTCAGGTGTATATCAGTATGCAGTGTCTCTACTTTAAAGAGTCCTCTCCTGCTGATGTTCAGGTGTATATCAGTATGTAGTGTCTCTACTTTAAAGAGTCCTCTCCTGCTGATGTTCAGGTGTATATCAGTATGTAGTGTCTCTACTTTAAAGAGTCCTCTCCTGCTGATGTTCAGGTGTATATCAGTATGTAGTGTCTCTACTTTAAAGAGTCCTCTCCTGCTGATGTTCAGGTGTATATCAGTATGTAGTGTCTCTACTTTAAAGAGTCCTCTCCTGCTGATGTTCAGGTGTATATCAGTAGGTAGTGTCTCTACTTTAGAGAGTCCTTCCTGCTGAGTGTTCAGGTTCATATCAGTATGTAGTGTCCTCTACTTTAAAGAGTCCTCTCCTGCTAGTGTTCAGGTGTATATCAGTATGTAGTGTCTCTACTTTAAAGAGTCCTCTCCTGCTGATGTTCAGGTGTATATCAGTATGTAGTGTCTCTACTTTAAAGAGTCCTCTCCTGCTGATGTTCAGGTGTATATCAGTATGTAGTGTCTCTACTTTAAAGAGTCCTCTCCTGCTGATGTTCAGGGTATATCAGTATGTAGTGTCTCTACTTTAAAGAGTCCTCTCCTGCTGATGTTCAGGTGTATATCAGTATGTAGTGTCTCTACTTTAAAGAGTCCTCTCCTGCTGATGTTCAGGTGTATATCAGTATATAGTGTCTCTACTTTAAAGAGTCCTCTCCTGCTGATGTTCAGGTGTATATCAGTATGTAGTGTCTCTACTTTAAAGAGTCCTCTCCTGCTGATGTTCAGGTGTATATCAGTATGTAGTGTCTCTACTTTAAAGAGTCCTCTCCTGCTGTTGTTCAGGTGTATATCAGTATGTAGTGTCTCTACTTTAAAGAGTCCTCTCCTGCTGATGTTCAGGTGTATATCAGTATGTAGTGTCTCTACTTTAAAGAGTCCTCTCCTGCTGATGTTCAGGTGTATATCAGTATGTAGTGTCTCTACTTTAAAGAGTCCTCTCCTGCTGATGTTCAGGTGTATATCAGTATGTAGTGTCTCTACTTTAAAGAGTCCTCTCCTGCTGATGTTCAGGTGTATATCAGTATGTAGTGTCTCTACTTTAAAGAGTCCTCTCCTGCTGATGTTCAGGTGTATATCAGTATGTAGTGTCTCTACTTTAAAGAGTCCTCTCCTGCTGATGTTCAGGTGTATATCAGTATGTAGTGTCTCTACTTTAAAGAGTCCTCTCCTGCTGATGTTCAGGTGTATATCAGTATATAGTGTCTCTACTTTAAAGAGTCCTCTCCTGCTGATGTTCAGGTGTATATCAGTATGTAGTGTCTCTACTTTAAAGAGTCCTCTCCTGCTGATGTTCAGGTGTATATCAGTATGTAGTGTCTCTACTTTAAAGAGTCCTCTCCTGCTGTTGTTCAGGTGTATATCAGTATGTAGTGTCTCTACTTTAAAGAGTCCTCTCCTGCTGATGTTCAGGTGTATATCAGTATGTAGTGTCTCTACTTTAAAGAGTCCTCTCCTGCTGATGTTCAGGTGTATATCAGTATGTAGTGTCTCTACTTTAAAGAGTCCTCTCCTGCTGATGTTCAGGTGTATATCAGTATGTAGTGTCTCTACTTTAAAGAGTCCTCTCCTGCTGATGTTCAGGTGTATATCAGTATGTAGTGTCTCTACTTTAAAGAGTCCTCTCCTGCTGATGTTCAGGTGTATATCAGTATGTAGTGTCTCTACTTTAAAGAGTCCTCTCCTGCTGATGTTCAGGTGTATATCAGTATGTAGTGTCTCTACTTTAAAGAGTCCTCTCCTGCTGATGTTCAGGTGTATATCAGTATGTAGTGTATCTCCTTTAAAGAGTCCTCTCCTGCTGATGTTCAGGTGTATATCAGTATGTAGTGTCTCTACTTTAAAGAGTCCTCTCCTGCTGATGTTCAGGTGTATATCAGTATGTAGTGTCTCTACTTTAAAGAGTCCTCTCCTGCTGTTGTGCAGGTGTATATCAGTATGTAGTGTCTCTACTTTAAAGAGTCCTCTCCTGCTGATGTTCAGGTGTATATCAGTATGTAGTGTCTCTACTTTAAAGAGTCCTCTCCTGCTGATGTTCAGGTGTATATCAGTATGTAGTGTCTCTACTTTAAAGAGTCCTCTCCTGCTGTTGTTCAGGTGTATATCAGTATGTAGTGTCTCTACTTTAAAGAGTCCTCTCCTGCTGATGTTCAGGTGTATATCAGTATGTAGTGTCTCTACTTTAAAGAGTCCTCTCCTGCTGATGTTCAGGTGTATATCAGTATGTAGTGTCTCTACTTTAAAGAGTCCTCTCCTGCTGATGTTCAGGTGTATATCAGTATGTAGTGTCTCTATTTTAAAGAGTCCTCTCCTGCTGATGTTCAGGTGTATATCAGTATGTAGTGTCTCTACTTTAAAGAGTCCTCTCCTGCTGATGTTCAGGTGTATATCAGTATGTAGTGTCTCTACTTTAAAGAGTCCTCTCCTGCTGGTGTTCAGGTGTATATCAGTATGTGGTGTCTCTACTTTAAAGAGTCCTCTCCTGCTGATGTTCAGGTGTATATCAGTATGTAGTGTCTCTACTTTAAAGAGTCCTCTCCTGCTAGTGTTCAGGTGTATATCAGTATGTGGTGTCTCTACTTTAAAGAGTCCTCTCCTGCTGATGTTCAGGTGTATATCAGTATGTAGTGTCTCTACTTTAAAGAGTCCTCTCCTGCTAGTGTTCAGGTGTATATCAGTATGTAGTGTCTCTACTTTAAAGAGTCCTCTCCTGCTGATGTTCAGGTGTATATCAGTATGTAGTGTCTCTACTTTAAAGAGTCCTCTCCTGCTGTTGTTCAGGTGTATATCAGTATGTAGTGTCTCTACTTTAAAGAGTCCTCTCCTGCTGATGTTCAGGTGTATATCAGTATGTAGTGTCTCTACTTTAAAGAGTCCTCTCCTGCTAGTGTTCAGGTGTATATCAGTATGTAGTGTCTCTACAGTGACATGTCTCCATGCTTTAATGTTCAAAAAGCTTTACATGCACACAAACTGATATAAACCCCCACCAACAATAATAGGGCCTCTTTAAGGTGGTGTGTGGCTTGAAGCTAAATCTGACCTGCAATGAATTGTCTTTTCCTCAAACAGACAGTCATTAGGCCGTAACGTGGTTTCAGAGCACAAGGTCAGACGGGACTAAAGGTTCAATATTTGATTATGTGGGAAAGGCCTCGCAGGTTAGTAACTAAATAACGTCTGACAACAGAAGACTCTCTCTGTGTTACCAAATCCTCAAAGACCCCTCGGCTCGGAGCAAAGCATATTATTCTTGAGAGATATCTGAAAGTGCTCCGAAGCAATTAAGGTGACACGATTTGACAAACAACTGCCACAGAGCCTCTGGAGAAACTTCATATACTTCGCCTCGAGAGAGGTTCACACAGCCTCCATTGCAACGTGTGTCCAG